AACCCTAAACCCTATCCCTTAAAGGAGGCATTCAAGCAGCCTTGAGGCTCGCCGGTGCGGCGAGCGGGAGTCCGACCAGCCAACCGTTGTTGGCAACAGACCTGGAGCAGGAAAGCCACCGGAGGTTTAGGGTTTAGGGTTTAGGGTTTAGGGTTTAGGGTTTAGGGTTTAGGGTTTAGGGTTTAGGGTTTAGGGTTTAGGGTGTTTTAGGAATTTTAGGGTTTAGGGTTTTAGGGATTAGGCTGAAAGCCACCGGAGGTTTGGGGGTTTTAGGGATTAGGGTTAAGGGTTTTAGGGATTAGGGTTAAGGGTTTTAGGAATTTTAGGGTTTAGGGTTAAGGGTCTTAGGGATTAGGGTCAAAGGTTTAGGGGAGTAGGCTCTAGGATTTAGCTTTTTAGGGGTTAGGGTTAAGGGCTTGGGGGGATTCGGCTTTAGAATTTAGGGTTTTAGGGATTATGGTTAAGGGTTTTAGGGATTAGGGTCAAGGGTTTATGGGATTAGGCTTCAGGGTTTAGGGTTTTAGGGATTAGGGTTAAGGGTTTAGGGGATTAGGGTTTAGGGGGCTCCTTTAAGGACTTAAGCATTCGACCTTGAGAGCTTCTGGGACGGACTAACTCTTCAATGTGCACGGCTCACGGTCTCGAGACACTCCAGTCCTCCATTTTGTTGTGCAAACACTGTCTTGATAGCATCTGGAACATAGGCAAGTACTTGCAGTAACTAGTCCTAGGCTCAAGACTTCTGTGCCCAACGTTATCGCCATTCACGTCTCCAGGCGAAGGCCTTCATTGCCACGAGATACTGCGGCTCAACCACCACGCCTCGAGACTTTTCTGGCATTCGACGGGGGTGTAGCAGACCCGAACAGCCACCGGGCACTGCAGGATGCACATCTGCGACTTTCAGTAGTCAGTAGCCCCTAGTAGCCTGCTCAACTGAAGGAAACTGGGCTTGCAACAAACAGCGAGTACGCACCATGTTTTTCCAGGTCGCTGCCGCTTCATTAGCTTTGAATGGATAGGCAAAAGGTGTGCATTCCACCATCTTACGCCCTTACTGACCTACGTAACAGAGTTCACCGATCCTGGCCGAACAGCCAGGGCAGGAACCGTTGACTCACACTTTGGTGAGGTGGGCACCACGAATCACATGACTGGACTCTCCAAGCTTTGGGAGACTCCGGCTGACGCTTGCCGATGGCTTTTGGACCCGGTAGCAGCTCCAAGACCCTCAGCGCCCACGGGCGCCCGCCCCGGGACACTTGGCAGCCAATCAGGTGTAGTGCGGGTCGCTCATCTCTGAAGCCTCCATGCAAAGCAGGTGCAAGCAAACTCGACACCCGCAGGGTGGCTCTTCAGCTCAACAGCAAGGGCAGCTGTGAGCCACAACCTGCCCAGTTTCCTCGCTGCGCTATGTCACGCTCACCAGCAAAGCAGAGGTGCAGCAGGCCTTGCTTTCGCCCAGCTTATTCAAAGCCGTCACCTGGACAGTGAGGCGTGAACCCCAACAACGGGCCTGGACAGAAATCCATGCTGTTTCCTCTTCGGGGCGTGGCAGTTCAGCAGATGCTCTGACCTCTGAAGCCCTGACTGCAAGCCCCATCCTTGAAATTTCTGACGGGACTTTCCTGAGGCATAATGAAGCCTTGTCTTTCGCAACCCTAGCTCGGCCCCAAGTGTCGGCCACCGCAGGCCCGCATAGAAAGGGAAACATCTACACTCAGGCCCTCGCCTGGAAGCGGTATTCACAGGCGCCGAGCTCCAAAGGCCCTACCCAGGCGTTGTACATGGAGGCATCCTCTTGGCCTGGGAGGCAGAAGAGGCAGGCTTCTTTCTTGGTTTCCTCTTCATGCGGCCGAAGCAAGACGGAGATCCCATCAATGGAAGGGAACAGTTCTCGCGGCTCGCGGCACTGCATTGCAAAGGGAGTCCAGAGAACGCAAGAGGCCGGGCCGAGGGCTCGCACTGTTACGAGTCCGGTAGTCATGCACAACGCTGGTTCAAAAGCAGGCTCGCCACCGGTTGCTGCTCCCACTGAACCCATCCTTAGCGGCTTCGGCGGGCCATGTTTTTTTCGCATGGTCTTTTGAGGACCTTGAGCTTGATGGCAATACAGTCAGGCATCTCCACCCAGCTCGCAGCTGCTTCTCCTGGTCCGAATGGGTTCCTCGGTTGGTCTCGGAGGTCTGAAACGGCAACGTGAATTTAGGGTGTGTCCGAAGACTGTAGTGATGCGGCTCTACTGCGGATGTTGTCATGCACGACGAAAGCATGACGGAGGGAGCACGAATGGTCACAAGACTTCAGTCACATGCCTTGAGTGCCAGGGGGGCTCCAGCGAGAGGCTCCCAGGATCTTCCGCATCCGGATCCTGTCGGGGCGTAGGCCAGTAAAACACAGACTTTTAACATCTTCACCACTCTGACTGCCAAGTCCACGAGGCCCAGCTCCAGCGTTCCTGCACTCCCCTCTCGGCCCCCGGGTCCTGTAAGCGGTGATCGGCATCCTTAGGCAGACTCATTCCTGAAGCCTGAACTCCCTCATGATTCACCTCAAAACCCTTCGGGTGTTGCAGACATGACGTCTTGAAGGCCCATGGCAAGAAACAGGTTGTGTGATAAACGATGCTGGTCCCAGCATCCCACCATCCCCACGAGGAGGTGTCCAGGCGACGTTGAGGCATCCGTCCCGTGCCTGGACATCAATACTTGACACATTGGGGTCCTTTGATTCTTTATCCATGTACATATCGGTAGAGACATTCATACATCTTCACATAGATATAGACGTTTGCACGCGCGCGCGCGCGCGCGTGCGTGTGTGTGTGTGTGTGTGTGTGTGTGTCTTTGTGCATGTAGGCGCATGTCCGCGAGTGCCAGTATGTCTGTCTTGTGGTAGACAGGTAGCGACAGAGGTCAAACACGGGGGGGGTGGACATATAATTCTGCGCACTAGCAGTCACTAGCAATCATCTACACAGATATGTGGATGTGTATGTATACATATTCATTTGTTTATGCGTTTTATTTGTGTAGCTCTTCATTTGATTATCTGAATCTGTGATAGTTTGATATTTAGCTGCTTGTTCATCTACTTACTTCTGCATGCTGTACCTTTTCTAGTTGCTGAATCTGTTTGCTCTATTGTATTGTGTTTCACTCATGTCCACAGAGATACCAGTAGAGATATTGACAAAAGCAAACTTTTGCTTGCCTTGTTGTCATGCATGGTTGCGCAAATGCATGTGTACGTACATACGCACACAGATATGCATTCATGCATGCACGCATGCATGCATGCATGCAGACATGCAGGCAGGCGGCAGGCTCAGGCACATATGCGCGTGTATATTTTGCATGCATGCCCATGCCAACACAGATGCGATCATCCGTGGATTCCTTGTCCATAAAGAATGCTTCATAGACAGGGGACAGACAAGATAGACAGACAGACAGCTCGAGAGATAGATAAGAGTGCATGTGGTTCCTCGCAGTACGGAGAACAAAAAAGCCCTCTCCTCCTCGATCCAGGGCTTGCTCGGTGGATCCGGAGGAATCGGTGCCGTCACGATCCTCACTGGGATTCACTGTGCTTCCGGAATCAGATGCTGCGACATCTGAGATGACCAAAACTAGCAATTGGCACATGGAGATTCAACTTTACAACGAGGTGCTCAAACTCCCCAGCGTCTCCGGCGCCTACTTTGTTCACAGCACGCACATCCAGGAGATAAGCAGTGTTGCCCCTGAGGTTCGCAACGACGTACCTCACTTGCAGCGGGCTCAAGTGATGCTTCAGGTTGTTCCAACCCTCCGACACACTCATCTCCCGCTCCCTATGTTCATTTATTAATTATGGTTGTATGTGTGTAGCAGCGAGTAGCTACGCCTTGTTATGGCTGCTGTTGCACTGGCCAGGTCACAATGGGTTCAGCGATTTCGTGCATTCGCAGAGCGTGTACCACTCCGGCAGCTCGTTCGGCTGTGGGTCCAGCAGTATGGAGATCTTGTATCCGATGATGGGCGCTCCGTGATCGTTCCTAACACAAGCAGCACAGTGCACCTGCCGAAACAAGCCGAAACTGTGAATTCCAAGACCAAACCTGCCGCAAGAAAAAGAAAGGATGCTGAACGACGGCACAGAACTTCGGAGGCGACCACTTGACTGTCACCTCAGTCTGCTTCACGTCCGCCATCGCCATGTCGGTTACAGCAGCTGGGGTGGTGCAGACGTGGTACCTCAAAGACCAAAGGAGCACGAGGTCTTGCTAGGAAGCCCAGGAAAAAGGACAACAAAACTCTGCGAAATTGATTCAGTTTCAACGCCGCGGCTCTACGCCACAATCGCGCAAGCGAGACGAGACTTTGTGATTTGCGAATGCGGAACGATGCTGGTCCCTCGCGCGGCGGCTACCAAGCCATTCGGCTCGGTCCATTTCGGCTCAGAGAGCGAAACGAGAGAAAGAGAGAGAGAGAGGGAGAAAAAAAAAAGTGAGTTGGGACAGCAATATGCAGCTAACTCAATAAAGATTACATCAACAGACAACTCATCCGACTGAAAATGCTGGATCACAAGAAAGTGGTAAACAGCTGTCAGCACACGACCCAGGTGGCCAAGCACCCGCATCCAAGTCAAGACAAGGTTCTTCAGTCTCATCTCCGCCACGCGATGGCCTTTAAAATTCGCCGGCACTGACCCGACATGTCTGGGCCTACGCTCTAAAGAAGAGTGGTATTGTCAGAGCTACGAGCACAGTGTCAGGGAGTGTCGGGGTTGAGCATGATCTGTGGCGTTGCAGTCCTTGAAGGATGTCGAAGATGCCCCAGGTGGTAGGTCTTCTCTGAAGTTGGTACTCCTGCCAAGGAACTCCATGGAGAAGGGCTTTGGAAGTCGAGGGGTCGAGGTGAAGATGCCTCGCGGATTCAGCCTACGTGAGGCTACCAGAGGCAACGATTGCAACCTCAGTCTGTGAAGAACAACACTTTCTTCCTCGCGTCAGAATGTCGCTTCACTGCCATTACCTGAGGGGCTTGTGACCGAACGAAGAGTCAAGTCAAAGGTGTGTAAGCAAAGGGCCACGCACAAGTGTGAGTTGTATGTTTCCTTGGGCCGACGTTCCAATAAAACAGCGTCTCTCCTGCAGCGGCGCCAGCGCCCGCCTGAGCTCGAGTTGCCCGCACTGCGTACAAGCTCCAGAATCCCTTACGTACAGCGGCAATGCCTCCAAAACAGTCACCCCGACCAATAAAGGCCAAGATTCCCAACGAGCGTGGTCACAGGAGTGGCGAGAAGGGTACCCTTCGTTGCCCACACCTTTCAGAGAGAGGCGGCCAAGCAACATCTGTCACACTAGAGAAGAAGGAGGACCTGTGGAGCTTTGGCTTAAGCGACATTGGCATAAAGCTTGACAGCTTGCATTTCGAGATAGCCATGTCTGCAGAGAAAGCGCATAAGCCACCAGATGATGATCCAGCTTCTCCATTCGCAACGAGAATGGCTCCTTTCTTCACGACAGTCACATGGGAATTTCGCGATCTGCATGCAGAGACAGGGCTACTGTAGCTGCGGAGAGTCCTCGAAAGTGACCACAGGATTCTGGTTGGGTCTTTCATCATCGTCCCCAGCAAAAATGCCGACCTGCTTCACTTCAAACTACAAGCACTGGGCCAAGCAGGCTGCGCAGACGTCATGTGGTAGCACCACGACGTCTGTGTTGCTGCGACTTACTCTGCTGCAGGCCTGCAGACCGGGCTTGGCAGCTCTCTGCGCCTCAGATGACGATTGAAGCATCTTCCCTGTGCTCACCGAATCCTGAATGGAAAGGGCTGGAGCCTCACTAACTTCTTGCATCGCATCGAACCTCTCTTATTCTCGCCTGTCCAGATGAGGCCTCCGTGTCATGCAACATACAGGGTATCCTCATGCTGCGCAACGACTACTTCCAGGAGCGGCCTGCAAATCAAGAGGCGTGTGGATGTGTAACAGGACCGACAGCAAAAGCACTGATAGGTCTGCAGCTCGAGTGGCCCAAATTTATACAAATTCCCTAAACTCACTCAAATCCAAATCCAAATCTCAGCAAGAAGCCTGCGACACGATGTAGTGACCATCCACTGTCTGCAGCGGTGCATCACGAGGGAGTGGAATGTGGTCGGGCTCCTCTCCAGGTCTCGGTGTCTAGCCGTTCATCGCCTTTACAAGACCTTCGTCGTGTGGTTTTTCTATGCCAATCGCAACCTTGCCTCGGAGCGGGGATGCAGAGAGACGAAGTACTTGAGCGACTCGAACATCCCTGTACAGCAAGCGCAAGTCAACAGGAGGCATCTTCTATGCTGCAGTTTCCAGGCTTGGGAGGGCCTGGGAATATGTGGCCTCGCGAAACCTAGTTCCTCAGCACTCCGTGCGGAGGAGCACCTGGTTGAAGGTCCGGTGCGTCTGGGTGCAGCTCCAACTCCTGCAGCTCCACTTCCAGCAAGTGCGGGCGCTCCTGGAACTGTCGGAAAGTGAGTGCGAAGCAGGTCAGCAAGCACTGGGTCGTTACTGCTTCGTTCGCCACAGTGCCACAGCTCGGAGCCTCGATGGCATGCCAAGCGGGTGGCTTCTGCTGGTTCTGCGGAGGCCGGCGCGAAACACCATCGCCCATATCCTCATGTCGGCTCACAAGTGGACATCGACCGTCAGGCACATGTCTGATGCCGAGACCTGTCCTCGATCCGGTGGGGGATCAGTAGGTGATCCTCCTCCCCGTCTTGGGGAACCGAGTTGGGCATCACGGGCATAGACTGTGGCATCATAGGCATGGATCTGATCGACTGCGCGGCCGGTCCTAGGCTGCACCGCAGCTTTCAGTGGCAGTGCCAAGTGTGTAGGGCCCAACAGCGCAGACTTTAGCTGGAATCCGGATCCAGAGCCTCAACATTCCTCTCTGGCATCCTGGAGCGCCTTTGATCTCCGAGTGGCTCAGCGAGACACCTGGGGCCTGCCCGGGCCGTGGCTGCAGAACCGGCACCTCGCGGTCACCAAGGACTGACTTCATGGAGGACTTTAGCATTAGTTGAATGGGTCGCGAAAGCCCATCAACGAATTCAGCATCGTCTAGTCCAGACACTGGTCATTGCATCCGAATCTGCATCTTACCACTCGCAAACCCCTATCCAAACTGCCCGCCATAGCGGCACTCCTGTGGCTTTGCCAAACTTGACCACCCACCGACGGCGGAACTTGTCTTGTCATTTGCGGTACTGGAGTTCAGAGTAAGAGAGACCCTCCTTAGCGACACAAATACCGGACGGGATCCAGTCTGGATCCCTACAGCAGCAGCTGCATCGGTGACGGCAGGTAATGAACGAGTCGGCATCACAAACTTTTCGGGTCGCACGACGTCCCTGAATGCCGGAATCAGAAGCATCACGAGGGTTGTGTTTCTCACCCGACCGTCCCCAACACTTGCACACCAGGAACCTCTCAGTTCCCAGAGCCCCAGATCCTTCCAAGAGAAAGCAACGACCATAATGATGACGCCAAGGGCATCGATTACTGCAAAAAGACGACCAAGACCACGACCACGACTCCGACAACAGCGGCGGTGGCAGCATGCACTTGGCCGCGAACGAAAAACCACAGCACGCGGTTGCTGGGCAGCAAATGGAAACCTCCAGTTCGAACCTCCGGAACATACCCTTAGGAAGTGCAACGCACTTTGAAGAAGTTCAAACTCACGGGCATCATTGGAAGTGACGTCGATAAGCTCAGCATCCCCATACAGAAGACAGAAACCATGCCGAGGTGCAGAGCTGGCTTGAAGCGTCACTGGGTTTAAGCGGCTGGGAGCGTAGCCCTGCGGATCCTCGGACGCGGGGAGGAACCGTTGGGCTTGTCGCCATCGGAAATTCTGACAAGCTCGATGCTATTTTGGGGGTTCCTTCAAAACAATATAAAATACCCCAAACATCCCCAAACCCTATTCTAGTCATTTAAGGCCCCCTGTACTTTCTGCGTGGGCACAAGGAAGCGAGGAGAAGGCGTGCGCGGCCGGCCTGTGCATCCATGCCCCAAAGCCCAATCCCTTCCGTTCGTGAACACGCGAGGACGTGATGGCAGATGGAGTTTGCAACTGCGCTTTGAAGGTGTGTCTATGAGAGGATCCCTGAAACCGGAGGCTGAAAGAAAGAGTCCTGGCAGAAGGCACCCTAGTGATGAAGTGCTCCCCTTGTCCGAAACCACGGCTATCCAGCGCGCCTAGGCCTAGGCAAGCAGACCACCCTCGATCTCTACATCTTCGGGACCAGCCTTCGGTTGACACGACGACACTGGGACCGCGAGAAAGAACCTGGTCTGGGTCACAAGTCACAAGTGCGTGTTGCGTGAGCAGGACAGCACTTTTGTCGCAACGTATACGGTGCACTTTGCGACCGGGGCAGCACATGAATTAACAGGGCAGAAACAACTGGCGTCATCATCAGCAGCATCATCGCCCAGTTCTACTAATGCGCTCGTGCCGCTCTGAAATACTTGAAATGATTTCTCGAAAGAGTCAATGCGTTAGCAGGCCACTTACAAGGCTCTCTCCTGCCCCGAAACTAACCCGAAACCTGACAGCCCTAAGCCCAAACCGCCTCACCCTCAACCGAAGCTATGCCTGAATCTGCTGTAACCCGCGTTTCAAGAGCCCTCCATAATTTCTTTATCAGGGCTTAGGCTGCAATGCACGCTCGAGTAGATTGCACTGCTTACTTCTCTAATTACTGTCGCTGACTGTTGTCATCACCGTTATTACTGGAGGCGCTTTGAAGCTTGTAACCTGACTCCTACTAACATTATCAGCAGCCTAAACCCTAAACCCTAAACCCTAAACCCTAAACCCTAAACCCGAAACCCTAAACCCTAAACCCTAAACCGTACTCAAACTGGTCATTCTGTTTGCGGCCACTCCGGCCCCCTGAGCCATAGCTCCAACCTTTTCATGCCTGGGGGCTGGTCGTGTCGATGGAACTGACCTAGGCAAAGTTCGAAAGGTGCATTCCGTACAACCAACACACAGGAGGCTTAACTTAATGTCACGGAGCATGAGATCCGAAGCTTGCAAGTCAAAGACCAACTCGCTTGTTACGGCTTCTTTCTTGGAGGTAAGGTTGAATGATGCAGGCTCACAACTGTCAGCCTTATCAAATTTTAGCGACACTGCCTCAGATCTTCGTCGCTCGTCGCGTGCACACAAACGCAGGCATCCGTGTACACATAGGGGAACATCACAAAAGCAGCCAGAACAGTTTCTACATGTTGGTAGTACTGTTACTGTTAGCTGGCCTTGCCGATCGAAGAGCATCACATATAACGGAGTAGTGTGGCTGACAGGCTCGTGAGCACAGCCTGTTTTCGCGGGTGTGAACCAGGGGAAAAAAAACATCACTTCCGCCATGTGATCTTTCACATGGACAAAACATAATCACGCAACAATGAACCTTCGGATAACAATTGCCAGTCATCATGATTGGATCATGGCAGTGGTACTGACTGCAGATCGAGACTTTACACCCAAAAACGGCACACCCTGCAGAACAGGACAAGTACCGTGGCAGCAACGTCCAGGGTGGCACCGTGGTTGGTAACTCACACAGAGGTCCACAAGCTCAGCGAGCAAAGAAGAAACGTGCGACCGCATGTTCCCCATCTTCGCAACAAGCGACAAATTAGATGGCAGCGCCGGCACGAAACCACTAGGCCTCGGTTCTGAGCAACACAATGTGTCATGCAAGATCTTCGTTCCCTACCTGACAGCCACCCTCAGCTAGAACTTGGGCTCAACAGGACGGATACCTGCTGCTTGCCGTTGCTTGCTGCGCTTCGGTCACCATCTGATGGCACTGAAGCAAAGCCCAGCGTCGTCGTGGGAGTCACCTCACCATGGCGCGGATCCTGAAGAGAGCTGTGACGAAGAGACGAGCTCTGCACCCCTGAGAGTTTGCTCGGGCATGTAGGGTTCCTTCTTGCGTGCCTGTGCCACGAGTCAAATCAGCCTTTAATAGCATATGGAGCAGATTGCACTGTTGCTGCACATCTTTGGCCCCAGCTGCTGGGGGCAGTGCAGGCTGCTGCTGAGTTCTACATATTCTAGTCGGGCGAGGCAAGTGTCCTCCAAGAATGCTGTCGCACGAAACAGTGCATCCACCATGCAAACGCACTCCTGAGCTCCACGTTCATGACGGAAGATGTCAGAGTCATGGCGATGAAGGTTGCATGTTGACAAGTCCAAAGGCAGGCCCCATGCAGGGAAGTTCTTAGCACCTGAAGCTGAGCTGCCCGGGCGTCCAGTACACTGTTTCTGTCCTGCCGCAGGTCTGGACAACTCTGTAGTCGGGAACGCAAAGCTTCAACGCAGAGCGAACGCGAAATGTGGGGCTCACAGCCCGAAGAACCAGAGCCCACAAAACGATGGCCTCATCAAAGCGGAGGAAGAGTTGGTACATGTCCGTCGGGCTCGGGGGCGGCAAGCCGTGCTGCTGGAAAACCAGCGAGATGAACTCCTGCAGGCGATACTGCCATGCGCACCTTTATGCAGTATCATGAAACACTCGATCAATCCTTACACATGGATATTGGTTAAGCACTTGCTTGCAAAATGATAACCATTCAAGCACGATCAGAGGCATAGTCTTGGCAGGAGATACAGGTAGGAGACGAAAGAAGCCAGCAACTCGCCCCTCAAGTGGCGATGCTTTCCCAGCAAAGAAAGTCAAGGCAGTGTCCAGGACAGGGGGAGTCTGCTACTGCCTGAGTGGGTGGCAAGCCATCAAGCAAACTCAGCGAATCTCGCAGACACCATCCTGGATCTCACCATTTGCCCATTGCAGATTGCCCGATGCGCTTCTGTCGCAGGCACGGTAGATTTCCAAAGTGTTCCTCAGATATTGCAAGGCTGACATCCAGTCAAGCAAATCAGCACGAAGTCCCCTGCGCCTGCCCTCAAGCGAGTGTTTCAGGGACCGTCAGCTATCCCGTTTCGTGCGTGCTTGCATCTCCAAGGAACCTCAGAACATCACCTGGGCGGGGATCGGGTCACTTTCCCAGATTCGGATTGGATTTCTACCACTACGCAAAACATCGACAGCGACCTCCCAAGGTCAAGCGAACATCGAGTGCCCACGCAAATGTCCGCACCCTTCTCGCAGCTCGCATCTTGCAGATCATTGCGGCCCTGTGGCCGCTCTCGATCTGCTGCGCAAGCTGCCTCCGCTGCACGCCACAGCTGAGGCCGACGGAGGTGGAAAGCTCCTATAGGAAGGGCTGCGACGGCTTCTGATGGCTTCTATGGCTTGCCTGGCTCTGGAAGGTTACAGACCGTTGCTTTCAGATTCAGCAATTCACCATGCTTCCAAAATTGCGCTTTTCGCGATCACTGCAACACCAAACCCAGGCGAGCCCAGACGGCATACTCCGCTCCTGAACATTGACATTGCAGCCTGCTGGATAAGAAATCTGTGGCGTCATAGCTGACGGGCGCGGACAGCTGGCCACGTAGCGCTCCTTGGAAGCTTCAAACTAGGAAGAAGTCGTCTTTGCAGTCTACACCAGGGCGGCCGAAAATCTGCTAAAGCCATGGGGGCCTGCCCCCGGAGCTGTCCACCTCGTCTCACCCAAGCATTTTCATGTACCAAGTCAAAGAGGCAGAAGCTACTGAGCTAATGCTTGTCGGTCAGCAGCCCACGGTCCCGTTCTATCATTGCTGGCCCGGTGCATGGACGGCTGAGGTTGTCTGACGCCGGCGCCTTGCTGCAGCTCATGAGCTCATGTTTTCACATGTCGGCAAGGAAACATATCTTTGTGGCGACATGCCGGCCGTTCCTGCGGCAGGTAAGCTGGCATCAGCTGGTGTTGCACTGCCTCAGGCAACAACGGCACAGTGAAGAGGCACAGGGGCTCTGGCACGGCTGGCTTGAGGATTCTGTAGAAGAAGCTGCACCCCACCCGNNCCCCCCCCCCCCCCCCCCGAAAATTGCAGGCATGAACTTGTGCCTGCGCTGGCGTCGGCAGCAGTGACGAACCAGCGCAGGGCACTACCTCGCACAGGGTCGCTGCGTGAGTTAAAAGATCGGTCAGCAAGAACACAGACGGCTACTGCATGAATTAGGACATGGCAGAGTCTTCTTTCAAGACCTGGCTCCTGCTGGAAACACTCCCGTCGTAGCATAGCCCCTATAAAAGTTTTAAGAAACTCGCAAGTCCAGAACTTGAGACTTGGAGTCCCCGACGTACTATCTCCGATCTTGTCACCAGGGAACGACAGGGGCTGCGGACGCAGCCCCGGCAGCTGGCAGGCGGCACACGGCCGGGGCAGACGGCGCGGCCGCCACAGAGATTGTGGGCTGCGCATATCGCGTCACCAGCCTCCTGTCGTGCAGGGGGGCAGACTGATGCGAATGAGAACCATACCGAGCACATAAGGTGGACTTTATCAGTGACAACAATAGTAACAGCATCAATATTCTTATACATATACATAT